TCAATGCAGTTATCTTAACCTCACCACTGCTCTGCCATAATCAAAACATACTTTATACAAAATAATAAAAACCTTTAAACACACAGAGCCTCTAGCGAATTCTCTACAAAAATCTGACACTCCACAAAGCATATATTGCTTACTATAAATATATTTTTGTCACTGGTTATAAGTTTCTATAATATTTTTTACTGTTTTTTCAGTGACTTTGATCCTTACAGGTGATGACTGAGCAATGTCTGTGACAAGAACTACATGACATTATCAACTTTACAAAATGTCATCGAAAATGTTATCAGATTTTTACAGAAGTATAGATTGTTTAATATAAATATAACAGAAATTAAGTTTTAAAAAAAAAAAAAGGTATTAAAAAGGAGTTAAAAAATGCAAGTACAACATTTGGTATCAGTAGGACAAAGGTTTCATTATACACAACTGAAGGCTCTCGAAGGAAATAAAAATACAACTTTTTTAAATACCATGACAATGATCTATTCATCCAATACAGACATCCACTACATCTTTAACAATGAGACAAAAAAAGAGGAAACAAGTTCATGAAGACATAAATAGCTCATGAAAAACAGCATAAAAACTAAAAGACTTAACAGAAATGCATGACATTTTGGTATACAGATATATATATATATTGAGCAGCATGGCACTTAACACTTAGTAAAAAAACCAAGAATGATGTGTGAATGATGCTGTGATTAGACATAATGAAATTATCTCCCTTTTGTAAGAACTCTTTTTTTTTTTAAATGAAGACTAGGGCTGGATACTGAATTGACCTCTGGATAAATAATTAAGGACAGATCGACTGATCGTATTTGCTTTCTGTTCTGTTTAATTCAAAGTTTTTACAAGCTGATTTGTTCACGTTAACAAACAGCTCCCTGCTGTTAACTTAAATCACAAATGCACTGTAACTTTTTAACCTGTGCTGAAGTCTATATATATGATATATGCTGTATTTTTTTTTTCCATTAAGGACACGTGTACTTAAAATAACCTCCTTTTACAAAAGAGTTTTACCCAAATAATTAGACAAAGCGCTTTATGCTAATTTATGAAATTTTCGAATATCATGATTTTCTAGATCATGTGGTTTGCAGACTGACCGTCTAAGTGGCAAATGGACAAAACATTTACATTGTGAAAATACCCAGATGAAAAGTGAACTCCTAGAAAAATGTAGCTCTATAGTGAAGGTACAAAGTATCAGCTATATATGTGTACTGTCATCCATATTATCAAAATACAAATGTCAAATTTTTATTGTTTTTAAAAATCAATAATTTTAATGATGAACCAACTTTCAACATTATGTAACAAATATATATATATTGACAGAGTTAACTGAAAAATGTCTTACAGAAACAGGAGGGGTAGAAATATGTATGATGATACTAGCACTGGTAAGATGACTGACAACAAGGAAGTTCGTTTTCAATGAAGGTGTTGTCACCTCTAAAACTGAACCTATAAATAAACACAGATGAAAGTAGGTCACATTTTACAGGTACATTACAGGTAAATTTTAGGACTGAAGACAGGAAAAACTGCAAGTCAAGAAGTAGAAGGGAAAGAAGCACATACAGGTAAGTGAAGACAAAAAGAAAACTGAAATAGAATCTGACTACCGATAAAGCTTAATCGTATTTCATAAAATGTATAGGAAGACATAAAATAGGTACATTTAAATCAATTTAGATGACCATCAGAAGACATACAGCCTAGCAAGTGTGGAGAATATATAAAGTCATGGATGGATGTTTAAACAGGTAAAGACAAACAAAAAACAAATGACTAGTAGGATTCTTGAGAATATTATGACTATTTCAGAGTTACCTCCCTTCTATTTACATAAAAAATGGTTCCCTTCTCAGTTAACTCCTCGTGTATGCTTGTGAACTACGGGAGATAATACATTTAATTATTGTATTATTTTTATAGGATAAAAATGATCTTTTTTTAGAAAATAAAACTATTTTAGAGTTACCTCCCTTCAATTATATATTACTTTCAAAAGATGAAAAGGAATTTTGAGAATATCATGACTATGAAAGTGTAGTCTCTCTTCCATTTTCACAGATTGTACTATGCAAACTATAGTGACCCAACATTAAACCCTTAGTGTGGCATTTCATTTTAAGCAATTTTGACAATGTCGCGAAAATACACAAGAAAAGGAATAAAAATACCATTAATATATTTTCATAACAATCATTATTTCCTGAAAATTAAAAAATTTAAACCCAATAGGATAACATATCTGGTGATTTAGTAAGTATAAATTTACATTAAACTATTATCCTATGTACTTTCCGCAGAACTTGCAAATGGGTGGTCTTATTACCAGACATCGGCTTATTGTTGGATAAATCTGTTATACTGAGGAGTATAAGTTATCGATTAATCTGGGTGACCATGTTTACTTGTTATAATGCTCTGTTATCTTAGTGTTTGGGTGATTGAGTGGTGCATTTGCCTTCAACCTAGATGACCAGGATTGATTCCCTGAAATGGAGATAATAACGTATTAGGTCACTTGATTGATTGCCTGGGTTTTCCATGAGTACTCCGATTTACTTCAACAGTAAGACTATTCACAATATTCATTCCAGACTAACAATAGTGATTAATTAGCGATTGTTTTGTAAATTTTGTGAAACAAATAAAAGTCAAAGAGGAGATTTAATCCCAAAATCCAAGCTTCAATTTTTGAAAAATTAAATATTGAAATTGAAAATGAGATCATTAAAAGAACTTTATCAAGTTTCAGAAGGGAAGGAGATCACATTGAAGGAGAAAACTAATGAATGTCAGGATAAATACATTGTAGTGTGATATACTTAGTACAACGGTACACACATCAGTGACGCATAAAACTGGATCTCACTAACAACATCATAAACAAATTCTCAACAGTCCATACTTCTAAAAATCCATATAAACCTATACATTTGATATTCAATATGTTTATACGTCAATTTTCCAACACACTCGCTTTGATTACTTTTACAATATACGTTATCTAATAACTAAGTTTTCCTGAGTTTGTTACTACCCTTACTGGGGCAAAAAAAGACTCATTGCTCCCTATGATGAACATAACATTCTACAGGCAGAAGCTCATGCTTGAAGATAAGCCCACCCTTACACTTACATGTGTACCCCTTATATCCAGGTGTGTCTTATATATGAATCAAATTGAAATAATCGCTAAAAACCAGCCCTACGCTTATACTCTGGTGCGGTTGATAGCCTAGAAAATACAGTATATAGAATTTCACAGCTAAAAATTAAACGTGGGAAACAAAATTCAGGGATGGCTATGGCCCAGCTTAGTTCCTAAATGTAACAGTGATGATATAAGACCCGTTTTAATTTTACTGATGTCAGAGTGATCGATAGGACCGATAGGACAGAACCATGATATTCAGATCTATCACCACAAATGCAGGTTAGGAAAGAGAAACAATTTTTTATGACTATCGCAGTGACAGATCAAAATGTGAAATCCTAAATTTCTTCAAAACATAAATAAGAGATTGTATCAGTTAAAGACGGGATATCCACATGACCACGTGTTGTAATCAGAGCCTTGGATTACAGATTGCCTGTTTTGAATTAATCCTGTGCTGGACAGCTTTCAGTTTTAAAGCATTTGACATATGAATGTAATATTACTATAATTTTAGAACTGATGTACCATTCATACATACAAATGTAGTTCAATATCAATTGATACTAACAACTTCTTTTGTCTTACCTTTATATTTAACACTTACATATATATATATACATAAACATATATCTATATATATATATATATATTGACAGTAACATAAGCTCTATTAACTGATGAACACATCCTATATATATATATATATATAAGCTGAAAAATTTTACATATTCATTGATAGCAGTTTTAAATACTTTGTAAAAAAAAAAAAACAAAACATCTGATGATTTTTGCAAGAAAACCAAATGACATTAAAAAAAAAAATCAGAAAAATTAAATAAAATTTTAAGAAGGTAAATGCAGAGAGCTAAAACTGATTCTTCTATGACAAAAAATACAGGTACATATGTATGTTAAATGCATATAAGTTCTAAAAACTATAAAAAAATTATACTACTGAGCAAGAAGAGTACACTGGTCCCTGTTATGCTGTTTGGAAGAGTACTTTAATAGTAGGAAGAAATATTTTGCATATTATTCACTTTGTTACGAATTTAGAACTTTTTCGAAGGAACTGATTTAAATCATTCATATTAAAAGTGTCTTTATATATCTTTTGAATTCATTATCTAAAATCCTACACATTTAAAATTTTTTTTTTTAAATTTACGTTTCAACAATGGATAAACATAGTGAAAATGAAATTTTGAAAAACCTTTTATCGTCAAAAAACATATATCGATAATATTTCTTTACATGAAGTATATTGGAGAAAGTTAAAAAAAAATAAAAAACTGTTATCAATAATATTTGTTTACATAAAGTAATGACACTAGAAAAATATGACGTAAATTTTGTTAGTAAGTACAAATATCAAGAGCATATTGTTGAACAAGTAACAATAACTATTATGACTTACAAGGCAGTTTTTTGAGATTGTAGTATCCCCACTGAGATGATTTTTAGTCAACAAAGAACTGCATCAAAACACAGAATATATATGCGGAGAAAATCACCTGGAATCTTCACCAGAATACTTTCAGGAAGTGAAAAAGTACATAAATATATATACATAGTATACAAATATAAATATCTCCTAGGTTACCAGTCCAGAGGTCTTGCGTCTATCACAAATCTTTTCACACGTTTCCACTTCTTCCTTTACGGAGTGTAGACTCTTGTGCAAATGTCGTTCGTGCCTTTTCATTTCAAGAATTATGCTCTTTCACACTTAAGAAAAATCTCCGCTCACTTTTACAAATCGTGGTCTATGTGATATATCCTCCCGTATTTCATTCTGACGATATCAGGTAACGTTTAATTTGGAATTCGCTAAAGACGGAACATAGAGATAGGGCCAGAAACCCATCCAAAACTGGAAACAAAATTAGTCATAATAAAAATATGATTGGTCAGTAAATAGGATATAAAAATGACCCCCTCTGATCCCAATAGGATAAACTGACCATCATCCGATCATAATCAGATGAGAAAATAAACATGATGATGAATTATCTCCCTTTACAAAAACATGCCATTATTGCATAAAACTGACGATTTGATAGATAAAATATTGAATGGCTGATATGTGAAATTCTGTGGTCAGAAACTCAAACTTTTAAAACTGTTTCCTTTATACTGATACTCACATGTATTTTTGGATTTTTTTTCAAGTAGAGGTACCGTGTATGTGCACTGGAAACAAAACAGTCATAGCATTAATTAAAATCTATTCACTGAATTCAGTAGTCAATATGACCCTTAAGAGTAAAATTGAGTATTCAACATGTATTAGAAATAATTTGATAAACACAAATTTGGGTAATATACTTTATACAAGTTTCATCAGTGTTATATACTTGAGAATTATAAAACAGACATCATTTTTACAAACTAACCAAAGTCAACCTCATATCGGTAATATCAGAACCAGCTTCTATCATAAAAAATGTTAGAATCACGTGATTTTTCATTAGATTTGATAAGTTTCTAAAAATTTCTAAAAATCAAGTTTGGAATGTAATTAAGACAAAATAAAGTTGTTCACAGAGAACATCATCTAAATGCAAATGGATATACAACAGAATTGGTTCCAAGATTTTTTCTTTGATGAAACTTTAAAAAAAAAATTTTGAAGGGCTGTGGTAAGATATCAGTTGACTAGAGAGATCAGCAACACTTCTTTTTCATTTTTTGTTTGTTTTAAACAGCAAAAAATTTGGATCCTCCAAAAAATCGTCTTGTACTGTATTCTAATGCAGAACTCAAATTGATACTGTAATAAGTTATAACAGATTTTACCTGAAGAAGACAGACAAGTATGTTCCTACCCCGGCTAGTAAGTGCCACCATGCATGTAGCTCTGTAAAAGGACTCAATATTTGTGGCATGACATCGGATCGTACAACTCTGGAAAAATAACCACGAGAATATCTACTATTGTAATGCAAAGGGAGATAATGTGTAGGATACCACATACAATATGACATATTATGGCTAAATATTACAAGACTTCAAAAGTTTGTACAGAAAAATATCAGTATCAAATTGATGAAATGAAACAACATCGAGATGAACAATTCTGTTTGATACATCTTCATTACAAATATTATACATTTACATATATGCCCTGTGTTATTTTTTCCTTACTTACCTTAACTGACCACAAAAGCGCTGGTCAAGTAGCCACACAATGACACCCAAGACATACGTAGTCACAGAGGCAACGTAAAGTGTCCGACTGTGTTGCAACTTCCTGTTGAAACAGAAAAAAACGACATGTAAACATTGCTAATTTATCATTATACAACTTCTCAAAAATGGCGTCTTTTTTTAAACTTTCTTTTCTTAACTTGATATTATTTACATAATTTCAATACCTACACATTAATAACTTTTCTTTCTATTTATAAGACATCTACATAGTTTTGATACCTGACAACTGCAAAATGATTAATTTTTGAGGTTTTTATTTTCGAACAATTCTTTGGAATTCTTAAAGCACAAATTCATATCCCCACAATGTCATTGAATTTTATTTCAATCTTATTGGTGGATTTATCCATAAAATCCAGAAATAGCATTTTGGGTATTTTTTTTTATTCTTTTTAATAAAAATTTGAGCCCCATGAATTAACAAAATTATAATAAACATATTCTTGTCATATTTATAATATATATATATTTACATATAATATATTATATGTAATATATATATCTTATGTATTTACATATTATAATTTTTATGATACTTACATAATTATTCGTAGGGTTATAAACACCATGGATATCACCATTATACCATAACATGCCTAAAACAAAAAAGCCAATGTTAAGGCTATAACAAAAAGATAAGTGTTTAGTCCATAAGTCAGGTTTTTGAACATTCTCTTATAATCTACAGCTTGTTGCTAGCATATATTGGCCTGCTAGCTAGTCAGGTGGTCAACAGACCTCTGTTTACTTAGCTGCATGTTCAAGTATAACAAAGTGTCATTTTTTGATATTGTAAGTGGTGGTCAACAGTCCTCTGTTTACTTAGCTGCATGTTCAAGTATAACAAAGTGTCATTTTTCGGTATTGTAATTGTAGAAATTTACCCCCTGGGCGTAATGATTTGTGATGCATTGAAATTTTCTAGATGAAGAAAAATGAAAATAGATCGCAACAATACTCCCCACATGTATAGTTTACCCATAGATATTGTGTTTACTGAACACTTAAAGCAAAATTAATGCATATTTTGAGCGAGTCATGCATGAAACTGTAATTTTAAAGGCATCATTTTTTTCAATTTTTCATTTTATCCTTAAAGACAGCAATAAATTATAACTCTTTGAAAAAGATAAATTAACATTAAAAATTTTAACATTTTCACCATTAAAATACAAGAATAGGCAGCATTAAAAAAGGTATACAATTCTGCTTTAAAACATTTACTTACTTGGAAAAAAAGTACATGTTTTGTTGGCACGTATATCTGAAAATGAAAATAAAAACCAGAATAAAATAAAGGTCTTATAAGGGAACTCTTTTGTTCCTGTAAATATCATAATCAGAAGTACAACAAATTTACGTCCGTGAAACGAATGACGGAGAAATATCGACATGAATCACAGAAGTCGTGGATATCATGACGAAGATTTGTACATCAAATCAAGTGCCAAAGAAAATGCATGTTTTTTTTGTAAAACTGCGATTTGACCCACACGAAAATTAATGATTTTAATGCAGGACACAATTTAAGAAGCTTTCTTCGACGGTGAATGATGAATCAAATTTATGTTCTGATAGAATGTACGGCTTAAAAACTTACCAATGTTATACCTATAGACAGAATTATAAAAAATAGTTGTAGAGACCGATTATGGTGATTTTCTGGGCTGGTTGTCTCTAACCTGGAAATGAAGATCACAAATGCTGTAAATAGCAGGTAATTATATCATAGCCTATTTAAAATATAGATTCTACGAAATCTTTTTCATAAATCATTACAACTGGCATCTCTATACAAAATGGTTGACAAAACAATTTTCAATTTTTTTTCTTGCACAATATTATAATCATAATTGTACATGCAGTCATCTTTACAGTATTCTTCATTAGCAGGATGTTCTGAATATCTAAATGACGAAAGTGTTTGTGTTATCTCTGAAGTGCTAAGCATACATTGTAACTCCCTATCAGTGAATTAAAGCTATTCACACATCTTATCTAATGTAGCCTTGAGATAACAGGACTTTTGTTTGGATAAACATTTCTCTCATTAGAAGAAGTTAGAGGTGTCTGTCCGTGCATGAAACCTCTGCTTTCTGTGACACATGATAAATGATAAATATAAGGACAGCCTACACCTAAAGTTATTGTTTTTATAAAAACCACAAAAATTGTGGAAAAAACATTCAAATCATTTGGAATCAAATGTTAATATTCAAAATGTCCCCCCCCCCAAAAAAAAAAAATTGAACAAACAGAATGAATTACAATAAAGATTCTGAAAAAAAAACCAAGATGAGATTTTATCAAACCAATGAATTCATTGATCTGATCTTTGGAAAGGGAGTTCTTTATACAGCATTGTACTTTTTCTTGTAAGAAGCCAATTTAAAAAAAAAAAAAGAATCTCTGACTCAAAATTGGAAGACCGGCTTATTACAGGAGACTGATTTAAACTGTAATAAACATGGCTGGGCTTACTGCTGAATAAATGCTTTTATACAATATGCGTTCATTGTATGGTCTGAAAAGTAACTTTATCAGCATCACAATGTTCACCACAAAGTGAAAATGGTTTGTCCTGAATTGCCTTCGTAGATAACAGTGGATCTAATAGTACAGAGTTTCTCTGTGTGGCCGTGGGTGAAGGTTTTGTTTATTAGATTACCCCATTATAAAATTTTAATTAAAATCTAAAAAATAAATCCTTGCTTAAATTGGTCTGATCATGTTGAAGTGGACAATGTGGGGTTTCATATTTTCCAGAGTATGTTTCCATTGTGTTGGACAGTCTCGAATCTGTGTCTACACACCAAAAACTAGCTTTACAGGAAGTGAAAATGTCATAGTGTTTACATGTGGTCCTATTGTGAAGGAGTTCTGTATTGAGATTTGCTGAAATGTAAGCAGTTTGTTCCCAGGACAGTATTGTTGATTTTAAGACAGCTGTTCAGAAATAAAGTCCTTCTTTAAAGTTGTAGTGTTCAGTTGGAATTTGTAGTATTTTTGATTTTTTCTTTTTCTCCATTTTTTGAGTTGGCAACCATCGCAGTCACATGATTTACACAATTTTTATTTCTCTACTATAAATGTAATTTATGCATGTAAGGATTAATTTTCCAAAACCAAACTGCTATACCTGTATATCTTTAACATGACCAATAACTGCAGGAAAAATGCAACCTAACTGTTTCCTGCTACTTTAGACCTGAACCAAACAGCTGTCACAGATAGAGAGTTATTACTTACTGACAATACAACAGGAAACATGCACTATATATCATTGGTAGTTCATCCAGCAGCTGTAACAAAAAAATGACTATGTATACCATTTGTATATATAAAATAACAAATAAAATTGTTCTATATACAGACTGCTGTTGGTTTTTTTTTTTTTTTTTAAAAAAGGTACCAGAAACACAAACTTAGACAAGATATATTGTAAAAACATTATTTTTATAAAACTCTCTTAAATGAACTTATTGCATGTGATGTTCCTTATCTGATTTCTGATTTCTATAAATAGTAATAGTGGCCTTGACCTTGGAGCCCTCAAACATGAACTCATCTGAGGTTATGTTAACAAGTAGAATATCAATATATGCTTAAAAAATCCCTTAAAAAGTAGCAAAGGCCTAAAAAAAAACCTTCAATGAGGCCCATATAATTTCTTCTGTTGGTCTGAGGAAGTCTAAAAATTAGAGAGTTCTTAACGTTAACGACTTGTGCCTTTTTATCAAAATATTTCAATATCACAACACAGTAAAAGAGGTACATGTGTACTTACCTGCATACTGTATAATAAGGTCATATGAAAACACCATGAACCAATGCCCACACCTATAATACAATTACAAAAATGCTGATCAATGAAGGGAGATAACTGATGTAATCAATGAAACCTCAATAAGGTAATCAATGGAGGGAGATAACTCTTGTAATTTATAAAGGGAGAAAACTGCATACTGATGTATCAATAAAGGGAGGTAATTGGTGTAATCATTGAAGGCTAGTGTATACAATGAATTAAGATAACTGAAGTAATCAATGAAGAGAGATAACTGATCTAATCAATAAAGGGAGGTAATTGGTGTAATCGTTGAAGGTTGGTCTAAAGTAAGAGGGACAGCATTGTTGTATCATATATGAAATTTATGCATATTATTTTTCCCTCCTATGATTAATCCCCAGGATCAGAGGAGCAAGTTATTACCTTTGTCTTAATGACATGGTCAGGGGGTGGTTTATTACAAGACAATGAAAGAACATTTGTGAATAATTATTTATAATGAATATTGGTAGCTTTTTTTCCAGAATAACTATGGTGTATCTAAATCCAGACTAAAGTATTTGAGGAAAAAAATTGTCCAAACTTGAGTTCTTCCACATGTAGACAAAATTAATTTTCATGAAACTTACTAAATATTCTATCTTAAAATCCTGAACAATAGTGTTGTAATTTCCAGCCTTTATTGATAGATAGCAAAAGATGGCAATGTTTACAAGCTGGCAATTGTAGAAAAGTATAACTCACTTATGACACCGATGTGGCACCATTTGTAGCGATTCTCATGATTCTGTTGGATGGCTATTGCTAACACCGTTAACGTTGGGATGATGAAGATGAAATTAGTGATGGTATTCCCTGTAAAACAATAAGAAAGGCATATTAAATATATAGAATTATGTAAATGTATGTGTAAATGGACTAGTACAGTGTAATTAATTGATATACCCACCCACACCAATACATCAATACAGTGAAATTAATTGATATATCCACCCACACCAATACATCAATGCAGTGTAATTAATTGATATATTCACCCACACCAATACATCAATACAGTGTAATTAATTGATATATCCACCCACACCCACACCAATACATCAATACAGTGTAATTAATTGATATATCCACCCACACCAATACATCAATACAGTGTAATTAATTGATATATCCACCCACACCCACACCAATACAGTGTCATTAATTGATATATCCACCCACTCCCACACCAATACATCAATACAGTGTCATTAATTGATATATCCACCCACACCAATACATCAATACAGTGTAATTAATTGATATATCCACCCCAACCCACACCAATACATCAATACAGTGTAATTAATTGATATATCCACCCAAACTCACACCAATACAGTGTAATTAATTGATATATCCACCCCCTCTCACACCAATACATCAATACAGTGTAATTAATTGATATATCCACCCAAACCCAAACAAATACAGCAATACAGTGTAATTAATTGATATAGCAACCCACACCAATACATAAAGACAGTGTAATTAATTGATATATCCCAATACATCAATACAGTGTAATTAATTGATATATCCACCCCAACCCACACCAATACATCAATACAGTGTAATTAATTGATATATCCACCCACACCCACACCAATACATCAATACAGTGTAATTAATTGATATATCCACCCACACCAATACATCAATACAGTGTAATTAATTGGTATACCCACTCACACCAATACATCAATACAGTGTAATTAATTGATATATCCACCCACACCAATACATCAATACAGTGTAATTAATTGATATATCCACCCACACCAATACATCAATACAGTGTAATTAATTGATATATCCACCCACACCAATACATCAATACACCACCAATACATCAATACAGTGTAATTAATTAATATATCCACCCACACCAATACATCAATACAGTGTAATTAATTGATATATCCACCCACACCAATACATCAATACAGTGTAATTAATTGATATATCCACCCACACCAATACATCAATACAGTGTAATTAATTGATATATCCACCCACACCCACACATCAATACAGTGTAATTAATTGATATATCCACCCAAACTCACACCAATACATCAATACAGTGTAATTAATTGATATATCCACCCACACCAATACATCAATACAGTGTAATTAATTGATATATCCACCCAAACTCACACCAATACATCAATACAGTGTAATTAATTGATATATCCACCCAAACTCACACCAATACATCAATACAGTGTAATTAATTGATATATCCACCCACACCAATACATCAATACAGTGTAATTAATTGATATATCCACCCCAACCCACACCAAATACATCAATACAGTGTAATTAATTGATATATCCACCATCAATACAGCATCAATACAGTGTAATTAATTGATATATCACACCAATACATCAATACAGTGTAATTAATTGATATATCCACCCAACCCACACCAATACATCAATACAGTGTAATTAATTGATATATCCACCCACACACCATACATCAATACAGTGTAATTAATTGATATATCCACCCACACACCAATACATCAATACAGTGTAATTAATTGATATATCCACCCACACCAATACATCAATACAGTGTAATTAATTGATATATCCACCCACACCAATACATCAATACAGTGTAATTAATTGATATATCCACCCAAACTCACACCAATACATCAATACAGTGTAATTAATTGATATATCCACCCACACCAATACATCAATACAGTGTAATTAATTGATATATCCACCCACACCAATACATCAATACAGTGTAATTAATTGATATATCCACCCCAACCCACACCAGTACATCAATACAGTGTAATTAATTGATATATCCACCCACACCAATACATCAATACAGTGTAATTAATTGATATATCCACCCAAACTCACACCAATACATCAATACAGTGTAATTAATTGATATATCCACCCACACCAATACATCAATACAGTGTAATTAATTGATATATCCACCCACACCAATACACACCAATACAGTGTAATTAATTGATATATCCACCCAAACTACACACCAATACATCAAATACAGTGTAATTAATTGATATATCCACCCACACACACCAATACATCAATACAGTGTAATTAATTGATATATCCACCCACACCAATACATCAATACAGTGTAATTAATTGATATATCCACCCACACCCACACCAATACATCAATACAGTGTAATTAATTGATATATCCACCCCAACCCACACCAATACATCAATACAGTGTAATTAATTGATATATCCACCCCAACCCACACCAATACATCAATACAGTGTAATTAATTGATATATCCACCCACACCAATACATCAATACAGTGTAATTAATTGATATATCCACCCCCACCCACACCAATACATCAATACAGTGTAATTAATTGATATATCCACCCCAACCCACACCAATACATCAATACAGTGTAATTAATTGGTATACCCACTCACACCAATACATCAATACAGTATAATTAATTGATATATCCACCCCAACCCACACCAATACATCAATACAGTGTAATTAATTGATATATCCACCCCAACCCACACCAATACATCAATACAGTGTAATTAATTGATATATCCACCCCAACCCACACCAATACATCAATACAGTGTAATTAATTGATATATCCACCCCACACCCACACCAATACATCAATACAGTGTAATTAATTGATATATCCACCTCAACCCACACCAATACATCAATACAGTGTAATTAATTAATATATCCACCCACACCAATACATCAATACAGTGTAATTAATTGATATATCCACCCACCACACCAGTGTAATTAAATATATCCACATCAATACAGTGTAATTAATTGATATATCCACCCACACCCACACCAATACATCAATACAGTGTCATTAATTGATATATCCATCCCCTCTCACACCAATACATCAATACAGTGTAATTAATTGATATATCCACCCCAACCCACACCAATACATCAATACAGTGTAATTAATTGATATATCCACCCCAACCCACACCAATACATCAATACAGTGTAATTAATTGATATATCCACCCCAACCCACACCAATACATCAATACAGTGTAATTAATTGATATATCCACCCCAACCCACACCAATACATCAATACAGTGTAATTAATTGATATATCCACCCCAACCCACACCAATACATCAATACAGTGTAATTAATTGATATATCCACCCCAACCCACACCAATACATGAAGTTTGAGGTGTTTTTAAAGTGTTCTGGTATTATCTCTATAATCTTATCTGCTTTTTACCAACCAAAAAATCAATATTTAGAAAATAAAATGAATAACAAAACTGATATCAGATCCATAAATTTTGCAATTTGTACAAATCCCTTAATTTTGAATCATGCTTGAAAACAATTGAAATGTATGACAAATAAATTTGTGTCTGCACACACCTTGCCATTACATTAATAATGTACATTTCAGATATGGAAATCGATTACTAGATAGCAATGATGCAATACCGTATACTTTTGTTCAATGTCGAGTAAAGCGACCTTCACTCATCGTTTTCGCCTGCAGTGGTTATTCTGAAGACCGTGCGATTAAAATAAATAATGACATGTCTGTTTTGTACTGATGTCTGAATGACTGTGTACGTTGTTGTCAGGAGCTGCAATTATCTTCAAACCATTTAAAAAGACAATGTATAACAAATGTATTTATCAATGAACAAACATGATCCCTAACAATAAACAACCGGGTTGTCATTGGATATTTTAAATATATCACTGGTTTAAAGGTTTAAAATCCAAACTATTTTTACTTTTTATCCACTTTATCTATCACTGACACCTGATATTTAAAAGATATTAAAAGGTCAGAGTAGAACTTGCCCATGCTACACCAAATTTGAAATATTTGACTGATCTGCTTGTGATCATTTCCAGTAAATAATTTTTGTTTGCTCAACTTATCTCCCTGTCAATGGTCAGGGACATTTTTAGGGTCTCCTTGTTGGTGACTGGTGGCTACCTCAGTAAACAATATACAAGAGGCCTTTTGATGCAGCCATTCACAGCTTTTCGGGTACAAATGTCTGGTTCAAGGACACAACAGACCGGATTTTTCTCAGCTTTCTGAGAAACTCAAACTGCCATGGTTACCAACCCTCGCACTACACAACTCCAAGCTTCACATGAGTCTTTAAGTTCTATATTTGTAAACACCTCAGAACAGCTGGAGTAGAAATCCAGATCTTTATTTACACTTTAACCAACTTCACTTTATCACTTTAATAGTAATCAATATCTGTCTGAATACAAGCACAATACAACTTCAAACATTATGACATTTCTCCAATGAATAGATTTGCGGTTTTTCAAGCAAAGCCAACTTTCATTTCAGTAATTCTTACCATAATTTTAGTATGCAAATACCATACCTGCACCCGTCTTTGTAGCCCACAAACAAAAGATTATAAAAGGTTATGGTAATTATTATTGAAATAAAACTATAATTTCATCAGTGGTAATCTATTAGGAGCCAATCAGTTATCAAGTAAAATTTACAGTATACATGAAATCATTATTTGTAATAACAACAACACATTGAGGACTGAAAGTCAACTTATTTAATTCTCCTCGGCTTAAACATGTACTTAGAACAGTTTAAATAGGGGACAAAAACAATGGATCATTTACTGATGACAATTTTTTTTTTTATTTTGGTGGTTTTAATTCAATTTCTGATAGGAATATCATAAGAAATAGCCTGAAGCGTTCCAACAATCTACATATATCTGCAATTTTATCTTCTAC